TAGCTTCGAAGCCAAAATGAGTAATTTCATGGAGAGAATAAGGAAACTGTTACTAGAAGATAGAAAAATGGGGAACGATTCCAGACAAACACCAACACCGAGACACCGAGTAAGATGCTACAGGTGCCAAAAGCTTGGACACATGCAATGGGATTGTAGACTAAGGATATCCTTTCCATCTGGGGATCATTCTCAACGCTTTTCAAGACCTAGAGACGCCAGCCCTAATAACAAACAGGAACCAACTAGTACAGAAGGGAGGATACTGGCTAGTAATGACGAAGCCCCCAGAGTTGTTTACATAAAATCATTGGGCAGTCATTATAGAGGATTAAAATTCGAAGGACAAATCAATGGAGAATTGAAAACCATCACTTTTGATACGGGTGCTGAAGTTTCCATAATTAGAAGAACATTAGTCAAGTCTCGGGCAATCCAAAGGCTCACTAGAAACCTGTCACTACGAACAGTCACGGACGAACCTGCACCAGTTCAAGGAGAAGCTATGGTTGAGCTCACTTTTGGATCTACCACCTTCAGGCACAAAACATTAGTCGCCGATATAGAAGATGATTTTATTTTGGGAATGGATTTGATCGGCCAACATGGTTTCTCCTTTGATCCTTCCATGAACATCCTTAAATTTGGTAATGAAGAAATTGTCCTAACAGCACAAGAAGAATCCGATGCCGTTAAGATCTTGGCCACAACCCCAGTGATGATTCCTGGAAGTACTGAGAAGATCATTTGCGGAAGATTAGAAACAAATCCTGGGTGCTGCGTTGGGCTAACACGTAATTTCATTGGAGATAAACCAGAAAGGTTTCTTGTTGGAAAGACTCTAGTAAGAACAAATGGAGACATTATGATAAGAATTGCCAATGTTTCTTCCGAAACAGTAAGAATAAAAGAAGGAGACATTATTGGAGCTCTCGAACCAGTGAAGCAAATATCGAACTGTGACCTACCAGGTAAGCGACATTTTGTGAAATCCAAATTGGATACAGACACCTTGATGCAGACTTTGGCGAAATCATGGAAACATCTCGATCCAGATAGACTTCAAGAAGCCACAGATTGCATTTTGAAAGAAGCAGACGTATTTGTGATGGACAATCAAACCGGACGGACCAGCTTAATTCAACACAAAATTGATACTGGATTGGCACACCCAATTAGACAACCACCACGACGTATGCAAGTAGCTAAGCAACAGGAAGTGGAAAACCAAATTGATAAAATGCTTCAAGAGGGGGTCATTGAAGAGTCAAATAGTCCATGGTCCGAGCCAGTAGTACTGGTTACGAAGAAAGATGGGAGTCTTAGATTTTGTGTGGACTACCGAAAGCTTAATGACGTCACCAAGAAGGACAGCTTCCCTCTTCCAAGAATAGACGATACACTAACAACTCTATCGGGCTCCAAATGTTTTTCCACCTTGGATCTCAAAAGTGGATACTGGCAAGTGGCAATACATGACGATGACAAAGAGAAAACTGCCTTCAGTACCGGAAGCGGGCTATACCAGTTTAATGTAATGCCTTTCGGATTGTGTAATGCTCCAGCTACGTTTGAGCGACTGATGCATTTTGTTTTGCGAGGCCTTACATGGAGAACTTGCCTGGTATATTTGGATGATGTCATGATTATGGGAAATTCGTTCCAAGAACATCTCAATAACCTGAAAGAAGTTTTTGACCGCTTCCGAAATGCCAACTTGAAACTCAATCCAAATAAGTGTTTCCTATTTCAAAAGAAAGTGGAATTCTTAGGTCACGTGGTATCTGAAGAGGGCATACAAGTTATGGAAGGAAAAATAGATGCTGTCAGGGACTGGCCAAAACCACGCGACAAACATGAACTAAGGAGTTTTCTAGGATTATGTTCTTATTATCGAAGATTTGTGGAAGGATTCGCCAATATAGCTGCTCCACTTCATCGATTAACAGAAGAAAAATCAACATTCAATTGGACCCAAGAATGCGATTCCGCAGGTCGATGTTTAATTTGGCAGCGTATTGCTGCAATTTCTCAATCCATCTAGCAAGCTGTCCTTCAGGAGTTTTCATTTCTAAAAGCCATTTTAGAGCTGCGTGAGGAGCATTATGTACGAGCCCAGTGTTGTCCTATCCTGATCACAAAGGTATGTTGATTTTGGACACAGATGCAAGTAACACCAGTGTTGGAGCTGTCCTTTCACAAATCCAAAATTCACAAGAACATGTCGTGGAGTACTACAGCAGAACATTATCAAAGCCGGAACGAAATTATTGTGTCACCAGAAGAGAGTTGCTTGCCATAGTAAAAGCAGTCGACCATTTTCATAAGTATCTCTACGGACGCAAGTTTCTAATTCGAACAGATCACGCAGCTCTAAAATGGCTTTTAGAAATGAAAACTCCTGAAGGACAGCTTGCTAGATGGATTGAGAAATTGCAGCAATACGCTGCCAAATTAAACATCGACCTGGAAACCTGCATAAAAATGCTGACGCTCTGTCTAGACGGCCATGTAAAGAAGATTGCAAACATTGTCAAAGAATCGATATACATGAGAAAAACACTAGTCCAGCTGTAAGAAGAACGGGCCTGATCGTCGATGACAAATGGACTACCAAGCAAATGAGAGAAGATCAGGAGGCAGACCAAGACATTGGGCAAATTCTGCATCTTAAAGAAAATGATGAATGTAGGCCAGAATGGGGGGAAGCGTCAAACAAAAGCTTGATTTACAAGGCGTTGTGGGCCCAGTGGAACTCTCTGGCCGTAGAAAATGGTTTGCTCAAAAGAGTTTGGGAAAGTGCCGATGGGAAATCCACTAAGAGCCAACTGGTTATCCCAAAAGACCGAGTGGAAGATGTATTAAAAGAAATACATGACGGAACCTCAGGGGCACATTTCGGAGTTAACAAGACTTTAGACAAAATTCGGGAACGTTTTTACTGGGTTCACTACCATGAAGACGTTAAAAGCTGGTGTCGAAAATGCAACATCTGTGCTACCAGTAAAGGCCCTATACTAAGATCTCGGGGGCCCATGTACAACGTCGGTCTCCCATTTGAAAGAATAGCGATAGATGTTGCTGGACCGTTCCCAGAGTCAGAGCGTGGTAACAAATACATCTTAGTTATCATGGATTACTTCAGTAAATGGCCAGAAGTTTTTGCTATTCCCAATCAAGAAGCCATCACTGTTGCCCAGGTGCTACGAAGTTTGTAGTCGTCATGGTGTGCCACTAGAGTTACATTCAGACCAGGGACGAAACTTCGAATCTGCCGTCTTTAAGAAAGTTTGTGAGATCATGGGCATTCATAAGACAAGGACAACACCTTTACACCCTCAATCTGATGGCATGGTGGAACGATTCAATAAGACCATAGAGGAACACCTGACAAAAGTGGTCGCAAAGAACCAACGAGATTGGGACAAGCATTTGCCTCTATTTTTAATAGCTTACAGAGCGGCTGTTCACAATTCAACAGGTGAAAGTCCGGCTAGAATTGTTTTTGGAAGGGAACTCAGGTTACCTTGCGATCTGATGTTTGGAGTACCCGAAGAAGAACGAAGAGAAATCCGAGATTATGCCGACGAAGTAAGGGCACGACTTCTGGGTATCCATGATTTTGCTCGGGAGCATATTCAACTAGCCAGTGACCGAATGAAGACCAGATACGACTTGAAAGCCAATTCGGTCGGATTTCAAGAAGGTGATTTAGTGTGGTTGTATAACCCAGCAAGGAAGAAAGGAGTATCGCCGAAATTGTCTTCAGCATGGGAAGGACCCTATAGAATTATCAAGAGGATCAATGATTTGGTTTATCGAGTCCAGCGCAACACCAGGAGTAAGATGAAAGTTGTACATCTGGACAGATTGGCGAAATATCATGGACGTGAAGTTGATCGGGACGATCAACCTTAAGAGGAGGGCAGTGTTACAATATCGTCCGCCAGGCTGTCACGAATCGATGGTGCAAATACTAGAATCTAGCGAATTATTCTACTTTAATCTGGAAAATTAGATTATCGTGTGTATTCTAGATTTTACAGGAATATATTTAGGGATATATAAGAAGGCCGGCATTGATTTGTAAGTTAAGTTAAAGTTTGACTGTGATACGAGTTAAATAGTGATTATTGAGTTGTAAAGTTTAATTGTTGAGTTAGTTATTAAAGTAATTAGTGTCAGAGTGTATTGTTAAGTGGAATAAATTATTGCTGTGTTAATTGGACTTTGATTTTTGGAATAAACGAAACGAACGACGAACCCAAGATTTCTGTCCGGCGACCCAAAGCCACGACAATATTGATGAATAGATTGCTGCGGAATTCGCTGCGCTCGTCCCACAGAGGTCCATCCATAAGTTCCGCAACAATTCACTCATTTGTACTTGAATAATTTGTCACTTGTTTGGTAAAGTAACAATACTTATTCCTGTTGAAAGGCAAATTGACAAAAAGTGAATAATCTTACAAATTTGGACTTCATATAATAAATTATTGTTCAAGTACAAATAAGTGGATCATTGCGGAACTTATGGGTGGACCTCTGTGGGACGAGCGCAGCGAGTTCTGCAGCCATCTACTCATCAATATACTGTTAAACTATTTAAATAAAACACCTGAAACGTGTAGTTTTTAAACCAAATATAGACCAAACTATATAGTTTTGAAATCGGGAAATTGTGCTCTTCAAGAATATAGAACCAAATATAGGGCGTCCTATATGAAAAAAGCTGTAAGCATGCAAAATTTCGCATTTCTGACATTCAAATTTTGTTTCTGACCACGATTTCTGAAAATTCAGCCAAAAGTGTACAACTTTTGTATTTACACCTTTCTTCTACCTGTAAAGGTAAAGGCTGTAGGTGGGGTATCAATATATAAAAAAACATCTTGTACTCCTGCGTTCACTTTTTTTTATGAGAAGTTATAATATGCAGAAAATAGCCAAATATGGATTATACAAGTGAATATTTTAAACACCCGCTGGGATATCTCATGGTTAACTTCATTTTTCCAAGGTATAATTCTAAAACAATAATTTAATAAAAGCCTATAATTTCTTATAAAAAAGCCCCTTAATATAACCTGTTTAAGTTCAATTTTAATTAATATTTGTCTTCGATGTATGAAGCTCGTTAGTTAGTTGATGGTGAGGGGCGTATTCGATTTTTTTTCAAATTCCAGCCAAGTCATGTTATTAAGGGTCAAGCTCATTTAATAAATAATTTTTCATTGATAAATTTGCGTTGGCAAGATTAAATAATCGTCGCTCGGTTGTGGAAAGTAATGTCTGTCTTAACGTCTAGTCTGATTTAAGTTGATAGTTTATTCACATTTGGTCACGCTTAATGTAGAATATATGTGTGGGGTTTTTCAATCAGAGATTTCTTTGTATAACATGCATTTCTTTGTATAGGATTACCATAAATATACTTAAATCAGATAAAGACAAGATTGCAAAATGGATCACTAACTGATACCTATAAAACGAGTTTCTCAGATAATTCAAAAGCCACCATGAAACAATGATGTTTATGCCGTTTGAGGATCAATAAACAATAATTCTCGTGCCATCGGAGACACTCTCGACAATGCTTTATTTATCGATGCATGTAAGGCCTTGAATAATTCTTTAGTTGAAGATTAATCGAATATTGGCACGGCATAGTAATTTCGCGTGCCACTAAAAAAAATGAGCCAATTAGTATCCAGTGGTGTTTTGATTAAAAAAACCAATAGTGCAAGTGGAATTGAATATATTAAATTATGTATTATTATGCCTAAATAAATTATATCGTAAAGCGATATAAGGAAAACTGAAACCATCTTCAGTAGTAACATTATAAGCGTCATAATCTAAAGCATTATTAAAATACTTAACAATATACTCTTCATGGTACATGGTATTGTTGCTGTACAATTGAGGATCGTCGATGATTTTCGAAGCTGAAGACGAAATCGATCGGTAATTGAAAACTGCCGATTTGCTTAAAGTTTCGTAAGCATTTGCAAGTTGCAGGGTTGCTTGTTTTTCGTTTTCGAATAATTCCTTGTCTGCTTGGGTCATTTCGAAAATGTTTGATGGCAACATGAGTTGGCTAGCTTCCTTTGATACATCATCATTTACAGATAAATCATCATCGTTTTGAAACAATAACTCATTTATTCTCGAATTATTATTATTATTATTATTAGCCATATCTTTCAAATTAGCACGTAAAGCTTTCCTCACACGGGCATCTTTCGGATTGTAAACGTACCCGGGATGTTTCCGTTTATGTTCCTTATCGATAAGTTTAGCATTCATAAAGTATTTATTCTTCTTTTGCTGACACAACATTTTCCAAGTCTGGCCCAGTCTTTTGCTGATTTCCGCGTTGGATTCGGTCGGATACAAACGCGACAGCACTTTCCGGTTTTCGTTCGCGTACAGCATAAACGCGTTGGGCGGTCGCGGTACTTTCGGATACATCTGCTGGATTATTTGGAGATTGAAGTGGTCATCCATTTGAGTTTTTTTTGAAACTTTTTGACGGTTGTTAGTTAGTTTGTGACAGGAGATGTTTGTTATTAGAGAAATTTTCCATAAGTGAGCAACATCTTCCAGTGAACAAAAAACTCGAATTTGTATGGTTTTTTTCAATAATGATAATAAGGTTTATTGAATATAATAGTTACAAATAGATGTAAACAAATTATAATAAACGTAAAAAAGTTATTACTGGGGCGTTTGTGTGTTATTTGTAGTGTCATAGCTGGGAATATGTCAAAGTTTTTCTACCTTTCAAAACAAAAATCCTGTTTTTAGTTTTTGCTTTGGAAGTATATTAGTCAGCCTGTACTTGTCCACTACTGGATAAAGGCCTCTTCCAGATTTTTCCATGACCGTCGGTCAATTTTTCTCCATTGGATCCCAACGATTTGCCTGATGTCATCTCTCCGCCGTCTCTGAGGGCGTCCGGCGTTTCGCTTAGATACTTATTCAGGGTCACCAGAATGTAATTTTAGATGTCCATTTATCTGGGTCCATTCGTGCAATAGGTACACTAGAAAAATATCTCAAATGGGAGAATCGCGACGAAAGTTTTTAGTTAGGTTTTTAGTCAACGATGGCGACACTGTCGGGAGATAAGAGAAATTTACAGGTATCTGTGGTGTGGACAGTGATTTGTGTTGGTTGGTTTTGTCATTTATTTTGTCATTTTGAAAGTCAAAATTTGAATTTTTAAATTGTGTTGTTGTAAACCATGGTCCCCACGCGCGTTAAAGTGAAAATTCAAAAAGTTTTGGTTGAAAAAAACCCTAATTTTTGTTCCTATTTTTTTGTATTTACTCGTTTGTTTCGTTTCGTTCGTATTTGTATTTATTATTCGTATTTACTTTACGATCTACCTATAGCTGCGTGTCTCTTGCTAACTTACTAACTCTTTTTGCACTATGTTCGACATTGGAAACTTCCTGCCAGTCATAGTTTTCAAAAAAATGAGGCGAAAAGAGCTAAAAGGAGTCAGCAAGCCAAATGCAGTTGAACATTAAAAATTATTTAAAAATAATAAAAATATATGAAAAAAATCAATTCGCCTTTTTGTCAAGAATGCTCGATTAGTTGGGTTTTCAGTCAACGATGGCGCTGTAATTCATAACCGGTACATAACATTGCAGATACTTTTCTAAAGGTGATATGTTCTGTGCTTTGAATATAAAACTACAGGAAGGAGCATAACTTCGAATCTGCGCGACCAAAATATGTGGAGGTTGCATATGGCCGACTAGTATTTCCGGTTTGGCAGTAGCGTATATTTATTTAAATATGATTGTCAATATTATGACTCACTCTTTTCTCACTAATTCCAGTACTTATCATCACTTAAAACCGCTAAAATCCATTAAACATCCACTTAAATGAGGACACAGGGAACCACCAAAACAAATGATGAGTCCAAACTTGGAGGCTCAAAATGGCGGCTTCCGTCGTGTTTGCAGTGACAGATAGACAACGCTCCTTCCTGTAGTTTTATATTCAAAGGTTCTGTGCAATAGGTAGGCCACAACCCATTGCCATTTTAATTTTGCTGTATGAGTTAGTATTTCGGTGTGATTCCCAACATTGCTCTTTCCATAGTCCTTTGACATACGCACAGTTCTTCCCTAGATTTCTTTGTAAGGGTCATGGTTTCCAGTCCATACAGGGACTACATACGTGTCATATGTTTTTCTTTTCAGTAAAAGCGGAATGTTTTTATTTTTAAAGATGAAATCCAAGTTACCGGATACAGCCCAGGCCAAACCTATCCTCTTCTTAAGCTCGGCAGTCTGATATTCTTTATCGAGCTTTATGACATGTCTAAGGTATACCGGTCTGGCAAGTGAACATCTTGCATGCCAATTTTAATGCAATAGAATGAAATGTCTAGAATAAGTCTAAGATTGAATAGAGAACGGAAACGATTTCCCTTGATCCACCTCCATCATTCTCAGCGCTGCATGCTAGAGGTGGAACAGGGGAAATCGTATTCGTTCTCTATTTTACCTTATACTTTTCCTATACATTTCATTCTACTGCATTAAAATTGGCCTGTAAGATGCTGACTTGCCAAACCTGTATATATTGATCCACTTTCTCTACAGCGAAGTTTATTAGGAGATTTTCATTGCTAAGAATTTTCGTTTTACTAAGATTCATATTAAGTGATCCTATCTTCTTTGACTATGTGTTTAGTTCATTTAGCATTGTACCTAGCTCTCGTATGTCAGAGCCTATCAATACAATATCGTCCGCAAATCTCCAGTTAGTGAGATGACTTCCATCTATGTTTATTCTCTTGTCTGCCCAATGTATTGTTTTAAAAAGTGAAAAGTTTTGGCGATATGGTATCGCCTTGTCTCACTCCTTTTCCTAGGGGGATTTTGTTTGTCTTCATGTCATCGTCGGTCTTTATATGAAACGTTGCTTGTTGGTACATGTTCTTTAGGAGGAGAGAATAGCGTGACAATAGGGTCGTTACCTCCTATTACTAAAATTATACTGACCATTATTTTTCGATATAGGGAGGCCTAAAACTTGGCCATGTCATATTGAACCTGATGAATAAAACATAAGCAATTGCTTTTCCTTAGATTTTTGGAGCAATTGCTTTTAACTATATGAATAAAATGATAAGCAAATGCTAGAGCTCTAAGTAATTGCTTAGAGCACAAGCAAATGCTAGAAGATACAGCTTTTGCTTAAAATAAACAAAGTATTGCTAGAAACCGTATGAATAAAATTAGCTTTTGCTAAATTTTTAAAGCAATTGCTTAAAAATAGTTAAGGATGCCCTAAACCATACCTATAATAATTTTCAGTTGCGATATTAGTTTTATGCAGTGAGGAAGCATTTGCTCACCTATTACAAAATAGCCGAATGCATATATTTACGCAAAAAAAGTGTATTCTGGAGAAGAAATTGTCAAGAATGCGATTTTAAAAAGCTTTAATTAAGCAAATGTGGAACGGTTAGCTAATCATTTAATAGATGTTACAGGCGAAAGACGTAGAGGAACACTTTCACCGCTAACTAAAATAAAAGTGTTTTTGCGATTTCTAGCAGATCCTGGATATCAAAACTCAGTAGCGGAGAAAATTGGAATACACCAATCCACAATTTCCAAGATCAACAATAGTCTTATGAATTGCATCCTTGCATGGATTAAATTTCCAGAAAATATTGCTGAAATAAATGATGCAAAAGGGCAGTGGTCAGAAAAATATGCATTTCCAAATGCAACAACACACACAACGTGCAACGCTGAATATATGTTCACTAGTGTAGATTGTCATTGGTCAATCCGTTCATAATGATGGAAAAACATTTAGGTGATGAGGTATATGGAATAACCCCCTATTGGTAAATGATTCCATGGAGAAATCAAATCACCCCAGGGGGCCGATTCTCGGGCCAGGGAGTAGAGCTTCCCGATAGAACGAATGTTTTGTCCTTATCAACGTAATCTAAATATAAACGAGAATGATAAAGATGAAAAATTTGTTCTCTCGGGGAGCTCTACTCCCTGGCCCGAGAATCGGCCTCCAGAGCAATATCAATACAATACTTTGTTTTGTAGAGAACGAGTTGGTATAGAACGTTGTTGGTGAAGTATCCTCTAGTTTGGTTTTATTTGTTAATTCTATAGGTAAGCAATTGCTAGAGAGATGTTGGGTAAAGCAACATTTGCTTAAATATTTTATTCATATCAAAATCGAGCAATTGCTTTTACTTGAAGCATTTGCTAATAAAGTAATTGCTTTTGCTAAGTAGCAATTGCTTCAAGTAATTGCTTGATTTTTATTCATCAGGCTCATTGGTTTTATTGAAAATTGTTTCCTGGATTATTTAAATTAATTTAAAATTTAAACATTTTTTGTCTTTGTCGAATTGTTGGTCTCTTTCTCCCATGACGTCACTAGGCGGGCATGCGCAAAGCAGTTGTAAACAAATCCATCAACATATGCAATTTTGTGAGGTTATGTTGTTTTGTTATTATTTTGGAATGTCGTTAATCGTTGTTATATTTTCATTATTTTTTGAGTTTTTCAACGGTTTTGCGAGGTTTCAAGAAAAATATTTAAAAGAAACGTGTAATAAATTCAAGGTAAGTCATTGTTTCTCATTATTTGATGTTATTTAGGTATCAAATAGAGCATGCATTTCAGTTTCAGTGTACCCACCTAAGTCCTACCTACTGTTCACTATTTGGCTATGGATTTTCGTAAATGTTTTGTTCCTTCTTGTAAAAACAGTAATCTAAATTCGAAGAAAATCTTTATAGCTGTCCCAAAAATGAACAAAAAGAAGAAGTTGGTGTTTAGCTGTGGAAAGAGTTAATGTATTGTCTAGTATTTCTGCTTGAATTTATTGCTGCGAAGATCATTTCAATGTAAGTAAACTTAGTTGCCAAATTTCCTTTTATAAACACCTATTTTCTGTTTTACATTATTTCAAAAATATGAACATTATATATTTTGTTTATAGATGGAAAAAAATAGTGATAACTAGATGCAGTTTAGGATGACAAACTGCAAATTACTTATGAAGAAAAAAGTGGTTCCACATATTAATTTAGGCAGAATCCGAGTTTGTGAAGAAGCTGAATAAAACAATTGCCAGCTTACGAATCCATATTGAAAGAGTGATACAAAGATTGTAAGAATTAACAATACTCGAAGGACATTCCTACATTGACCATCAGCTTGTGGCAAAAACTGATTATTTTTTAATCATTGCTTGTGGAATAGTGAATTTGCCATTAATCAAATACATTTTATGTCGAAGCTAGAAAAAAATGCTATTGTATAAAAAAAATACCGATACTTTTTTTTACTGCCAAAATAGTACATTATACACCTAAAGACTAAAGTGGTACTTTTAATCCCGAAGTGAAGGCTATAATTTGTAAAACACTTTAGTCCTGAAGTGTATACACTATCATATGCACTTTAGGGATTAAAAATTAAAAGGGTACTTTTGATCCCTCTAAAGTACATAAAATAGTGTATACATCTCAGGACTAAAGTGTTTTTTATTCCCTCAACTTTGGAGTACCCTTTTATTCTCCGTTCCATTTACTCCACGGGAAATGAAGTAAAAAGTTAATCCCTTGGGACATAAAGTGAAATTTAATCCTGGGGATTAAAAGGGTACTTTTAATGCATAAATAATGTAAAGAAGAAAACTACCAGACTCCCAAAATGACTGAAAATACATTTTTCTTCCAAAATTCTTCAGCTTATTCAATAATTACTTTAATAATCCTAATATTTAAGTCTAATTCAAAAATTGTCACTTCATTATCCTCTCCAAATTTGGGACTTGCCACACAAAACAGTCCTTTTTGTCTATTACACAATAAAATTTGTAACTGAAGACTGAAGTTGGCACATGTATTTCGTCATTATATTTCCATTTTCCTTAATGTAGTTTTTCACAGTCTCCTTCCTGCTAGGACATTAAACTTCAATCACAAATTCTTTGCTTATTCCATCTGGCAATGCTCCTAACAGAGGATATTCTGCTGTCTCTTTTCAACTGCACATTAATGCACATAGCCAATAGCATTGTCACCATAACTGGCTCTCGCCAGTGTTGTCGAACGTCAAAATACTAAATAGGGAGAAACTGGCGTTGAAAATCGGTAGATTACTGCGCAAAATCGGTAGGTATAAGATAGAATAAAATCCAGCGTTGCCATGTTTTGCATGATTTAATA